GCGCTGTGTCCAGGTGAGGGTGGCTGTGCTCTGGCCAGCACGTCCATCAGGTTGCGTGGCAGGCTTCCCTTCACCTCCCTGCCTACCCACACGTGCCTGCCACAAACTTCAGACCTGGAAGATTCATATTAAATATAGAAACTTGTCAGGGAAGAGCTAATAACGTTTGGAAAAGAGAATTCAGTAGCTGCCTCTGGTGACAAAGGCAGAAATAACGGGGCGATGCTATTGTTAGAAGAACTTTATCTACCAGTGCCTGCAAAAGCTTAGTGGGGAGCAGGGAAGCAGTGGGACTGCGTGGCAGATCCCTCGGCCTCTTAATGAAATGCTTCCCCCTGCTGCCACTGTCCTATGTTCCCAGATAACAGGCACAGGCCAGAAATAGGATTGCAGTGGTGAAAGAAGTTACTTAATCCTCTTCAAGCTAAGCAAAAATGTACCAGTGAAGAGCCAATTCACAGGGCAGAGCTGAATTACACAGGAGAAAATTGTGTCTGCAAATCAAATGGAGCTCCAGCCCTGCGAGAGAGCAAAGACAAAACAGGCTAGTGTGGGAGAAGGGGGAATAGCCCAGACAGATGTTTGGGGGTGGAAGGCAACAGGAGGTATTTGCTCAGACTCCTCCAGCTCCAACGCAGAAATGGGTGGTTGTGGATGGATGAGGCCATCAGAAGGTGGGAGGGCACTTACAGCTGTCCAGGAATCATAAGAGGCAAAAGAACCTGATGAGACCTGAGAGCCTCTGAGAAGGCAAGAATTAGTGAAAGGATGGGATGTAGGTGGGGTGTTCATGTAGAAAAAGGCAGATGGGATGGAGGAATAAAGAGTAGGCAGCTAGACCAAGGAGATGCAGGGGGTGAGCAGAGATTGTGCCGGTGGCTGTCCCCCTGGGACACAGAGCCATAAAGCCACTGACCTGCTCTGTTTTGCACTGGCTGGACTTTGAATGGTGACAGCCTGTGGGGAAGGACCCTCAGCAAACAGAAAGTGCCAAAGTTTCAGAAATGGAACCCAGAGCTGCCAAAGGACAGGAAAATTACCTGCTTTTCAAGGACTGGGCCCTGCTGGCCTGGAGAAAAGGCAGCAAATCTGAAAAGCAAGGGTGCACAGAGAGCCTGGGTTGATGTGCTACATGCTTAAGACCATGGGCTAGTTCTCCAAATGAGTAAATGCTCCTGTTGTAGGGAGCTGAGGAACAGACTTCTGCTGCTTGAGGATGCCCTCTTCTGCAACATGCTGTGTGTGGTAGGATGATATTCTCTCGACCCATGCTGGGTGTGGTAATTTTACAGGGCAGATGAGACCACCCGAAATGTTAGGTTAGGAGGGCTTCCTAAAGACTGGGGCTTGGCAGGGAAAAGGGAGGTCCTAAGCGCCTTGGGCCTGGTCCAAACACAAAGTAGTTCAGCAGAAGGACAGCTTACTGAGAGAGTTGTTTATCTCAAGACAAAATGAGGACACACCTGGCACAATATACACTCTACTGGGCACAGAGGTCTCGCTCACTGCCTGAGGTCCTCACCTAATGCTCAGGTATGAAGGGCTCACTACACATGACCCTGCAAGCTTCTTCTGGCCCAGGGGAACCTGATCGTGTCCTCCCAGGAACACTGATTTATGTCGCTTCTTTTGGAATCTGTGCTCCCTTTACCCCTTCCCCTCCTGCTCATGTTTTCCAGAGGCATTTGATTTATACATACTCGTTCTCTTCCTCACAGGAATGAGTTTTGGTGCGTGTCGGTTGCGTGAGAGAAAAATTGATAGAGCAGGTTGCAGAGCAAAGCAGCTGGGATCTTTCTTAGGAGAGCCGCAGTCGTTAATTATAGGAGTCTAACTAAACCCTGGCTCAGGCAAGAAGCATTTTCTAGATCTCCCTCCTTTCTTTTGTGCCTCCCTGTGCAGGTTGTCACATCAAAGCCAGGATTCGGGGGACGAGTTAAAACGACACCCACCTTTTTGAATAAAAATGGGATGCCGAGCGCCAGGGAGCAGCTCCCTTTCTGGCTCCCTCCATTCCCAAGCTGGTGCAAGGGGCGCTGCACCTCTCCCGGGCGAGGGCTGCAGATACCACTTGTCTGTCCCCTGGGCTTGCTCCCGCTCCTTGCCTGCCTCAGGCAGCGCAGTGAGTCAGCTGCTGCCTTACTAAAGCCTCTCAGGTCTGATCTGAGCACCAGCATCCTCTCCCCAGCTCCCCTCTGTGCAGCCCGGCCAGCACCTCAGGATGGCAGGTTCCCAAGGGGTCCATTTTATTAACGAGAGTCACTGCAGAGCTGGGTATTTTGGTCGCAAGCAGCCTCATGTGTGCATCAAGGGCAGAGCCAGCAGCACTGGGAAGGATTTTTCTCTGTATAAATTTACCCCAGAGGAAAGAGATGAAGGGGGGAAGAGAGGGAAGAAACATAACCTGGATGGCCTTAAAAGCCTAATACTCCCTATGTGTGTGCCTTTTAGATATGTTTCTGGCTGATGATCCCAGCACAGGCCATGCTATTGCCCTGTTTCAGAGCCTGCCTACACAGATAACCTCGTCTTAACGTCGCTGGCTTGCTCACAACCTGTGCTCATGTCACTTCCTGACCTGTAATACCGAGATAAGAGCGCTCGCCGCAGCAGGAGTCTGCCTGCATTAACAGCTGGGAGATACTGGGGGGAAAGAGGGCCAAGAACATACCTAGGGTAGATAAAGCTGATTTGGTCTCTTTGCAGAAGAAAGTTGTTATGTGTTTTCCTAAAAGTTTCACGGGGCTACCAGGAGATGTGTGTGCCTAGCCAAGGGAGGTGCTGTCATCAGAACCTGATTTGGTGCCCCAGATGGATGCTCATAGCCTTCTGCTGGGGCCTGGCCGGGGAAAGAAAGAAAGAGGGGCACTGGCTTGCTAATTAAGAGACTTTCTCTCTCTGCTGCCTTTCTGCTGCTCAGAGGGGGAGGTCGAACCCATGCCTGATGTGAGCCTCTTGCCTGTGCTGGGACCCTTCTTAAAAGCTGCTATACATTCAAATGAAAAAAAAAAAGAAAGGAAAAAAAAAAAGATCTACAAGCACTTTGATAGTCCTCACAAGAAAGTGAAACAGAAGAGCCTTTGAGCTGCACGTATAAGAAAAACCTCTGTACATCAGTAAGGAAGAAAGGCTGGCAGAGCCGAAATCTGGCAACAGTCCCCAGCTGGCGAAGGAGGTGCTTTTGTGCCGTGAGCTTCTGTCACGACTGATGCAGAGAGAGAGAGAGAGAGAGGAAAAGCGCAGGATCTAGGCACTAACTAGCACCTCAAACCCACTGAGGTGTCAGTGGGATGGGGAGGGGGAGCCAGCACTCGTCCTCTGCCTCTGCACAGGGGCTTTGCCCCGGGCTGACTCCAGCTGGGGCACCCAGCCTCGAAACATCACCCCTCCTCCTGCGGGACCCTCCCGGCCAGGCAGCATCCCCCTGCTCTGCATCCCCCTGGGTTTCCATAGCAATCCATGGTGTCAGCTGCACAGGGAAGCCGGTGGAGGGAAATGAAGGTTTCTCCCCATCCTGGGCCAGCGGTGGGGTGGGAGGGGAAAAGGAATGTCCTGATGCTACTGATGAAGGTAGCAGCACCCAGACTACCTCAGTTCACCCCCCGCCAGGCCAGGGCATGAGGGTGCAGTGGGAGTGTGTAGCCCCCAGGGGCTGTGCGGGGCAGGTTTTGGGGGAATGCATGCATCCCCGAGCCAGCCCCACACCCCCCCATCCCCAATGTGGCACCTTCTGGAGGCTACCAATACTAAATGGATCCCATCCCTGATTTTATGTCCTCTCCTCCCACAGCTCCATCTCCTTCCTCCACAGGCTGCTCCATTCCCCCCCACCCTTGGCGCATTGTCAGTCAATGAAGTCAGAAATTAATCTTTGACTTTAATGGAAAACATGGTGTGGGGGTTGGAGAGGCACAGGCAGCCTTGAAAGAAGCCTTCTTATTCTCAGGATGGGGAAGGGGGCACTGGAGTAAAATCCTAGGGAGGGATTGAGGGGTCAGGTGACGGAGGGGAGTGTGAGAATCCAAGGCAGTGCCCCAGCAAGAAGAGAAGGAAAGTCCTGGGAGAGCAACCTGTACCCTCGGCACCATGGGGAGAGTTGAGTTCACCATCTGGTAACCATCCCCACCCCTCTCACACCAACAGGAGGAAGGGGGAGACCTGCCCATTTGAACTGAATGGAAAACTTGGGGGGGGGGGGGTTGAAAATAAAATTAAAATATCAGGTCAAATCCCCAAAGTTTCATATTTTTCAGTGTTTTTTTTTTTAAATAAAATTAAAAGATAGGTCAGCTTTGAGATGCAACTGTCATGTTGAAAGCAAGCCCAGCTACTTCATTTAGAAAATGTCTAAACAAAATGTTTTGACATTTTCAGGAAAAAATTATCCCATACATTTTCAGACAAAACTTGCGAACAAATGTGACTGAAAAGCTTGGCATCCTGAAAACTGCACTTTGAGGCAAGCTTGGCAAGTGCCAAGCGTGTTTCATGCACTGCTGGGCACAACGCGGGCATCTCAAGCATGGTGGTGCCAGGCAGAGCCTGGAGAGATTCCCGGGGACTGGAGCTGCCCAGGGATGCTTGGAGCAGGCTGGGCAGGTCCTGGCTGTGCCCAGGGCAGCTCCGTGTGGCTGCCTTAGGGTTTCACCCTGACCCATCTCCTGCCAGCACCTCTCTGCCCACAGTGGGAAGGATGGCACAGGTACCCACAGGTCGATGTGCCTGTCTTCGGCTCAAGCCATGGCTCTGCTGCAGGGGTGAAAACTGGGGCCCTGATCATTTTTAGCATATGATGGTGGGGAAAGGATCTATAAATAAGCCAGAGACATCCTTCAGTGGCTCGTGCAGCGCGGGGAAGAGAAACACAGAGGTTTTTGGCATAATCACATTCCCGAAAGGGGACTCTTGGAGAGCCTGAGAGCATGATTTCCTGATCAGAGAGATAGAGGCAGCACAGGCACAGAATACTGTATCACTGCCTGGCCTGTTGACAAGTCTACATGCTTTTCAGCAGAGATATTGGATGTCAAGAGGAAATTGCCGTTTACAACCGCAGCGTACCGGTGTGCGCCGAGACCTCCGGTCTCACGTGGCACCTCTGCTCCGGGCACCGGCTGCGGTACGGCTTCGGCCACCCACAGCCTTCTCTCCCATTCCCACCCCCGGCACCTCAGGGAGGCAAAGGGCAGGTGTCAGGAGGGATTTCACCATCACCCACGCCAGGCAGGGCTGGGCTGTCTGGGCTTGTTTTCAGCTTGATAAGGCAGACCTTTACAAGGTATGTCCGTGAGGTGAGAGGGTGACCAAAGCCGGTGCCAGGCAAGACGCTGTGCATCATTTCATGGCTTAAATAGCTTAACCCCCACCAGTCTCCGCAACCCGTTCTGGCACGTTGGGAGACCTGAGAGTCTCTGACCTATTTCCATGAATTCAGCATTTTCCCTTCTTTACCACTTCTGCTCCCACAGCCTGGAGGAGGGAAGGAGGGGCTTGGCGGAGGAAGTGTGAGGAAAATGCATCTGCAAAGGTAAGGGAGAAAAAAGCAAGCGGCAGATGTGACTTGAGCTGTCTGTGAATCCCCAGGGGGACCGGAGGACTGCTGAAAGCATCTCCTCTGAAGCAGCTCGCTCCTGGGAATGCCTCATCTCACTGCAACAGGCCTGACACCAGCGCTCCCAAACCAGTGGCTTCGGGAAGGCAGTGGGAGCGTGACGCGTGCCCTGAGGACCTCTCAGCCCTGACAGCTGCCAGGGACTCTTTTTTTTCTAAGTCAAAGCAGGCTTCAGAGTTAGCATCCTTCCCTTCTGGGGGGCTGAGACATCCCCCAGGGCCTGGCTGCTCCAAATGAAGTCATACGTAGCAGCAACAGATAGTGATAATGCTTCACCCTGGGGCACAGGTCATCTCTCTGTAGTTATTCCGGCTTTAATAGAAAACAGCCCAAGAAATAGACCTGGCTCCTCCCCACAGCCTGGTCCAAGGCTCCTTGCAGCAGCCCGGGACCATGGACCGGTATGAGGTGGCTGCGGTGGCAGCTGTATAACCCGGAGCAGAGGGATGGAGAGGCAGAGCAGCTGCACTCCCTGCCCGCCTGGCTCCCAGCGCCACTGCCTGCAAAGCCTTTCAGAAGAAAATGCTGTTTGTTCTGACATTTAGAATAGATTAAAAATCGTTACAGGCTCTTCTGGAACATTTTAGAAGGTGAAGCTATCGATTTAAAAACTCAACATCAGTTTTGTAAAGGAGGTGAAATCTCCCAGGCTTCCTTCTGTGAACACCAGTGCCTGGTCCTGGCTGATGGCAGGAGGACGTTTATCACCTTCCGCCACCCTCCATCCCCAGTTCATCTCTGCCCTGCACCTTGTGCAGGGTTGTGTGAGGGGGCACCCAACTCCCCCAAAGCCTCTCAGTATGTGGAGGTTGCTCAATCTTCCATTTTGTGGATCCATTTAGGGACGGGTGGTGTTTTTAGGCATTTTACGTGCCTAAAAAACAGCACCACGTGAACCTGCTGCTCTTCACTGCCTGCTGCTGTTGGAGATGCTCCAGGTCCCAAAATCACACCACCTTAGCCAAACCACCGCCCTTTCCTTCCCCAGGATTGCTCAGGATGCAGGACACAGCACTGCCAATGCCCCTCAATCACACAGTCCCAGCTAACGCTCTGACAGGCTGGAAATCATCTTTATTTTGAAAATATTGAAAAATATATGAAAAAATATGAAAAATATTTTTATTTGCAGCTCACGGAAACATGTCTGTAAGCACTGGGCCTGCACCCTTATCTGCTTTAGCTTTGCTTGAAGAGTTGCCCAAATTTTCCCCGTTTAAGCTTTGCTCTGTGGCTGCCAGGACTGCCGGGACCTTTTCTTCCCTCGCCAGCTGGCCTCTTTGGGAGATGAGGAAAATTCAGCCTACCTTGGTGAGTACATGGACTTACTGGGTGCCTCCAGCCACTGCTGAGGTCAGAAATGCTCAAGTGCATGTGTCCCTGCCGTGACATGGGTTTGTGTCCCAGCCCATCTGCAAGAGCTGGCTGTGCTGGGACACAGTCGGTTTCGCATGGCCCTGTGGCAGCAAGACAGCCAGAAAGCAGGGGGACCGGTGGGGACCTCTGTCCTGAGGGATTTAGGCAATACCTCTAGGGAAGACCTTTTGTTGCACTGAGATGAGGCACCAGAGACATCACAGCAGTGCTACACCCGACACAGGGTGACAGCCATGCTGTTGCCAACTTAAACAGACCCATATGCCATGATGGCTTCAGCTTGACTCTGATTTTCTTTACCAGTCTGGGTGTTTTGCACTTGTGATGACAGAGCAGAGGTGGTGAGGTGCTGGGTACCACCGGCACAGGCAGTGAGGGCTCAGGACTCCTCTGCCTTCCAGGTGCTGAGCAGGAGGATGAGCTGCCCCAAGCCCCCACTGCCAGATGCCAGCCAGCTGTGCTTGAGCACTGCTAGGGGCTCTCTGGGGACACAACCTCCTGGCTGAGCTCCTCGGAACATCCCCATGCCTGCTGGGAGCAGGTAGGTCCCCCTTGATGTGACATTAATAGAGCAAATTGCAGCAGTGCTCAGCCCCTCAAACTTCTTCCCCCATCAGCAGAAGTGAAATGAAATTGCCTCCGCTGCTGGCTCTGGAGCGAGCTCATATCTCTTGGCCCCTAATCAGGGGAGATATGAAATTTCTTATCTGTTAAGTAAAACGGTGCTGCACTTCAATCCATCCAATTATTTTTTTCCAATAAGTGTGAGTGAGGGGGCTGGCGGGGCTGGCTGTGGGAACTCACACAGTCAGCAGTGTGCTGGCAGTGGGGGGGCCCTGCCACAGTGGGCACCTCAGCCCAGACTCCGCCACAGGACCAGCTAAAAAGACACCAAAACACGTCATCTCCCAACCAGCATGACCCAGAAAAGTACCTGGGGTGGGGTGCTGTGGGGATCAGGCTGTCAGGCAGGACATTTGAAGCTTGCTGCCCACCAAGGACATGTCCAGGAATACACTCCCCATGGCCACAAAGTGGTCCCCTGGCTTTGGCCCAGAGTGGGGGCACTGCAGGCTGCAGGTGCTCTGATCCACATGTGCAAAGGTTCTCCATCAAACATTGGTCTGCATTCAAGGCAAGCAGAGCTATCCTTGAAGATCTGTCCAGAGGAGACCCATCCACCTCCAAGGCAGGGAGTGTGTGTCTGTGCTTAGCCCCAGAGGCTGGGGACCACCTCTAGCAAACACTCAGCCCAGACCATGAGAGCCAACCCAACAGAGACAACAAAAACCAATGGCAATGAAGCGGCTTTCCTGTCCTGGGTCAGAATTGAGTCCCATCCGACAACATCCAATGCCTGGATCACCCAGCTCCAGCATTTCTCCATACCTGGTAAGGCAGCTATTCATCTCTCCTCTTCCTTGCCCCTTGGACATCAGCAATAGTGGGGTTAAATGCGAGGGAGGATCAGAAAAGCTGAGCTGGCCGCATGCAGCATTGATGTGTGGGCATCTGGAAGCTCCAGACATAGACGGGGACACAGAGGCAAGGGAGGAAGAGGAGGGCAGAGAAGAAGGAAGAAAGATGGGACCAGAAAGTGGGAGAAAGCACACAGGAGCCCTGCAGAAAGGAGAAAAGGGAGATGAGCCAGAGGAAAAGCTCTTGAAGGAGAAGTGACAGGAGAAGTTAGTAAAGGAGATATAAAAATGAGATGGAGTCATCTCAGAAGAGTCCTCCCTGCATTTTCCTGCTTGCAATTATGCTGGGGAAGCAGCCCGGGCATCAATTTACTGGGTGCTGCAATGGCTGCAAACCCTCCCCATTACCCCTTTAGCCATCCCTGCACCCCAAGAGAGTGGCTGGGACAGGGTAAGGCCTCCTTTCCTTGGTACTGCTCCGCAGGCTGAGCAAGCTCCCTGCAGCTCAGGCTACCACAGCAGTGGTTCTCCCAAATCCTCTGCATCGCTCCCCCCACTCCCTAGCCAGGGCTCCCCTGTCCCAGAGGTTCTGCCAAAGCCATTCCAGGGCCATGGTCCACAACTCCTCTAGCCCTTACGGGGTCACCTTGCAGGGACAGGGTGCTGTGCAATGTCCTGTGCATCCTGGGCAGCAGGCAAAGGGTGCCAGTTCTCCCTGCAGTCTCCTGGATCCTTCCCAGCACCTTGCTGGACCCAAAAAGTTCAAACAGGAACCAAAGCCCCTCTTTTAGGGGGCAGGGAGCAGGCACCAGCTACAGCTTCCACTGCTAAACTCTGTGTTTCCAAGCAAGCGATGGTGGAGGCTGCAGCGTGCCAAAGAACAGGGACATCCCCTGTGACAGCAGCCCCCACAGCAAGCATCTTCACAGGCTGCCACACCAGCAACAGAAAAAAGATGTTCAGGTGGGGTGAGGGCAAACAGCCCCCGCTAGCCCTGCTGCCCTCCCCGAGCCACCGGGCTCCCTGTCGCTTTCGCGGGGTCTGTGCTGTTTGCCTGAGAACAGGCAAAACTCTGGGAAGGCAGAAGCCAAGCCTCAGCTTCACGAGATGACAGCTATTTTTTCCCTTTTCCCCAACCTTTTAATAATGCCAGTAGGATGTGCAAAATAATTCAATGCACTTCAGCAGTTAACATGCATACAGTCACCAGCTAATTGGGAAGCCGTTCTCAGGGAGGGATTTGCAAGCTTCTGTGTTAGCAGGGGAGGAAAGAGAAGCCTGTTAATTTAGGGCAGAAAAAGTTGATGGCTATCTAATTGATAGAAATAGCGATTGGCAGCTTTTCCCTCTAAACTTCTGAATTCTAGACTTCGAGTGAAATACAGCGTCTTTCCTTTCTGACTGAGGTTGTGTGAAAAGTTTGGGAAGAAAAGGCAGCATCTTTGCTCTTCTGACATGAGGCAGGAGGGTAGGAACTCTGCCAGCAGCCCCGGTGGGACGCTCGGCACTTACCCCGAGCTGACCCCAGCAGGGAAACCTCAATTAAATACCTGTTGGACTCAGGGAGCAGGTGCCCAAGCACCTTGAGACCACCTTGGAAAGGCAGCCTTGTTCCTGGGAGAAGCAATGCTGGGTGATGCAGACTTTCTCCGAGGTGGCTCCCACCATTTTCTAAAAGGTTTTCTCCATTTAAATGTTAGCTGCAAAATGGAT